AGCCGGCAGAGCGACGCGCTGGGCCAAAAGTTCCCGACCGTGCGTGCGATCTGAGCAGCACGAGCAGCACATCGAGCCTGAGTGGGCACTGTCTCTCAACCACCTTCACATCCGCCTGAAGCTGCCCCAGGATGATCTGGGTATGAGGGGGGACGCGAGCAGGACGGGGGCGCAGGAAGAGGGCGACGACGAGGAATAGGAGGAATGAGCCAAGAGGAGGGAGAGGGGGACAAGGAGCAGGACGACGAGGATAGATGGAGTAAGGGGAAGAGGAGGAAGAGGAGGGGAGGGGAAGGAAACAATGAGGACAAGGAGGCGGAGGTCTGTGGAGGCCCAACAACGGCACAGAGCGCCCAAACCAACTCGATCCTCCTTCTCCTCCCCCCCTTCCGGGTCACCCACTGACTGTCAACTTCAGTCCACGGACCCACTGGACACCAAACTTCTGAGTTGTTCGAGCTTTGTCCAGCCGCGGCCACGAGAGCGGCCCAGGGGGCTCAAAGATGGCCGCTGCACTGACTTCACGCATACCTGCGATACTTCTGGCGGGCAGGCGTGGCTGCCGTTGAGCACGGCGCTGCACATACCGCCACCACTGACAGAGGTGCAGGCGTAGCAACTTGGGAATCGAGATATGCACGAGCAGACCGACGCGACGAGGCTGGTGCCCCCGTGACCGAAACTGGGAGGCTGCAGCGACGCTCGACCTTAAAGGAAAAGGCGATTCATGCTGAGTAGCCCCACGTAAAGCCAAACCCTATACAGCTCAGGGTGAGGAGGTCCAAATGCGGGCCAGAGGAGAAAAAGGAGGAGGAGGAGGATGGGGAAGAGGAGGGGGAGGAGCCCACCTGGACGACCCCCAGCTCCTCCGCCGCGTCCTCCCGAGTGCGCCGCCGACCACTACCACCTGCCCCAGTTCTCCCTCCTGCTGCTTTTGGACGCCCATTGGGTCTCCAAGGGAGCCTCGGGGCGGCCGCAGCACTCGGGAGGCCCCCTGGGGGGTCCGCTGGGGCCAACCGAGACGACCCTCGGGGGGCTGCCCGTGCGTAGCGCCCAGGCCCCACCCAGGCCAACCGACTTCGACTTCGCACCCCGCGCCGCACGATGCGCGACGCGCAAGATCTCCGCGCGCTCACGCCGCCGCTCCCGAGAAGGCTGGCTCTCCTTGTGGATGCCATGACAATGGACACTCTAACAATCCAATCCGATCATGATGTGCTGAACATGTATATATACACATGATTTAAGCATGGTTAAATGATTTTTTACATGTTTAAGACATGCTCGGAACATGTTCTAGACATCTGGAAAGTATTTGGCAGCATGCTTCCTCTCCATCGATCGACTTCCACAAGGCTCTCCTGCCTGGGCCGCCGCGCCGCGCGTGCCGCGGCGGACATCGCCGTGCTCCCGCGGACGAAGCTCTTCCCAGACGTCCGGCGATGCGGATTGTTCCAACCCGCGGCCTGCAGGAGGGCTCGAGTCGAGCCCCCCTGGAGACTCGATTTATGTTGCTTCCGCACTCAAGGACCACAACCCAGAACTAATTTCGAGCACCCGGAAAAGTGTAGAAACAGCGTCGACACAGTGTCGAACGAGTGTCTCCCAGGGCACGACACGCGAACACCCTCGGGTTTCGGTACTTTCGTGGCGCTCGAAATTCTTTCTGGTGGTTCAGGCTGAAGTAGGCTGGAACGTCACAAGACTCGACCACGAGGCAGCCCCACGGGAGGCGGCACGGCAGCCCCACCGCAGAGGAGCCCCGCGAGGCCGCCTGCAGCCGGCCATCGCTCGGACGTCCATTCCCTGTGCTTTGTTCGGTGTTTCGTGCGTGGTTTTTGTCGCCAAATGGTCGAGGATGCTCCTCGATGGTCCCCGCCGAAGGAAAAATGCACACGTCCGAGCGATGCCAGGCGCAGAGGAGGAGAGAGGGCCGAGGCCTCGGCACTCCTCGGCGGCCCGACGTCGTCCCAGAGATCCGCTCCCGCCACGCCCCAGGGGGCCCGCAGGCGGCCCGCAGAAGCTGCAGCGGAGGAAGCGCGCTGGGACGAGTTCGGGCGCGTCCCCCTACAGAGGCGGATTTGGGGTGAAAAATGAAAGAGACCTGAGCAACACACCAAAATAACCAAAACATGCTAAGCACAAATCGTCCCCAGACCATGTTTGACCATGTTTGAGCACTCCTCCTGTAGAGGGACAGGGCAGACCCGACTTAACGCTGGCACTCAGGGAAGCAATCCTTCGGAAGTCTTGGGCTAGGGCGCGCTCTGACCAGAAATGTCGAGGCGGAGTCGCCCGTGTCCGCGAGAAAGCCCGAGGAGGACCAGGCAGGGTGAAGAACGTCCTCGGTCCTCGAACCTCGAGGGAGAGAGGAGCGGCTGAGAACCAGCCCGTCCTAGCTGCCAAGGCTCCGTCCGATGTCTGGGTTGCCACGCCCTCGCTCACACTCACCTCCAACCTGCTGCAGTGCGGGCGAGTTTGGGGTGGGCGCGGGATGTGACGTTTGCCGTCTATGGGGGCGGGGGTCGCCCCGGTGATCCCCAAAGCGTGCGAGTTGTGAGTGCAGCGAGGGCGGGGTCAACCCGGTGACCCCCGAGACGCGCAGGTCGTGAGTGTAGTGAGGGGGTTATGGTGGTAAAGAGTGTGTGTGTGTGTGTGCGTGTGTGCGTGCGTGCGTGCGTGCGTGCGTGCGTGCGTGCGCGTGTGCGCGTGTGCGCGTGTGACCGTGTGCGCCCGCGTGATTGTGTGTGCGTGTGCGCGTGTGCGCGTGTGCGCGTGTGCGTGTGTGCGTGTGCGTATGTGCGTGTGTGCGCGTGTGCGTGTGTGCGTGTGCGTGTATGCGTGTGTGCGTGTGTGCGTGTGCGCATGTGCGTGCGCGTGTGAGCGTGTGCGCGTGTGCGCGTGTGCACGTGTGCGCGTGTGCGCGTGTGCGCGTGTGCGCGTGTGCGTGTGTGCGCGCGTGCGTGTGTGCGTGTGTGCGTGTGCGCGTATGGGCGTGCGTGCGTGCGTGTGTGCGCGTGTGTGCGTGTGTGCGTGTGGGCGTGTCTGTGTGTGTGTGTGTCGGTGTGTGTGTGTGTGTGTGCGCGTGTGTGCTTGCGTTTGTGCGTGTGCGTGTGCTTGTGCTTGTGCTTGTGTTTGCGTTTGGGTTTCGCGTGTGTCCTGCCTGCCCCACCTCCTCCCGACCCACAGGACGCGCTCGCCAAACGCTGCCTTGTGTGCGCGGCATGGTGAGGCCTCAGGGATGGCCGCTCGGGCTCCGACGCCAGGGCCGTGGCCGCCACGCCGAGGCCGGGGCCGCACCTGCTGCTCCGTCAGCGGACGGCCCCCCCTCTGCCGCGGCCGCCAGTGCGCCCGACGAGCCCGCAGCGAACGCACCCAGCGCAGCGAACGGGACCCACCGTCGTCGCCGCCCAACCCGCCTGCTCAGCCCCCGGACCCAGACCACGATCACCTGGACGGCTACTTGCATCAGGTCGGGAATGTCCTCCTACGGGCGGAGTTAGGAGGACAAATGAAACATACTCATTTTTTTTCGGGCGAAAACATTAATCGGCATAGGAGGCAGCTTGGCCTGGGGCGATCCTCAGCCAGACGCGTAGCACCTCCAGTGCCCCAAGAGAAGCAGACCGAAGGCCGAATGAGCAAACGTGCACATAGACATCGAGGCGGTGCCAGCCCTATTGGAGAAGTGTCTCCGGCAGCGTTCCGCCAGTCTATGGGAATCAGAAGGAGGAATGCAATAGCGATGTGAGATGCCGGAGACTCGCTGAACAAACGAGGGGAGAGGGAGTAGACGGGAAGAAAGAGGGGAGATGAAGATCGTGACATGCGACGGCAACTGATCGGCCATGGCAACCGTAAACACAGCCACTGACTCGACCGCTGCTCGCTGAACCGTGCCGGAATAAAGAATGGTGGGGGTGCCGGGTGCAAGGTAAAACGCTGAATGACCCCCTCCCGCCTCCTCCGTCCTCGCTCCTCCACTCCCCAGTCCACGGCGGCAGTCCCAAATCCGACACTTGTTGGATGGATCACTCGAGCTCCCTGCCGCCTCAAGCGGTGTGCGTCCGGAGCAGAAACGAAGCAAAACCGAAAGGACACGTGGCATTGACAGTGTAGCTCCGCAGACGTGTTCAATGCTCCAGCGAGCAAGAACACAATAATGTCCCAGCACAGCGAATGTGTGCAATATGAAAATCCGCAATGTCCCCTCCTCCTTCCTCCGTCCCATGCTGCTTCCTAGTGAGGGGACCGAGGGACACACGGATAAATACACACAAGTCCCAGAACCCCCCATCTTTTCTCAGATGTTCACGGTTTTCGTCTTCCCCCCCATATTATCCTTTATTTCCCAGGGAACCGACGATTAATTGTGCCTGTGTGTTTTTTCACCTCCTGATCCCCCCCTCTGTGTGTTTTCCCCTTCTGTGTCTGTGAGATAAGGACGAGTTGGAGGAGGAGGAGGAGGAGGAGGAGGAGGAGGAGGACGAAGAGGAGGATGAGGAGGAGGAGGAGGAGGGGAAGGAGGAGGAGGAGGAAGGACCCCCTCCCCCTCCAACTTATGGTGGTGGATGTGGAAAACTGGCCAATCACTCCATGAGCGGCACAGAGTCGGCATCGAATCGGATCCGCTCCGCCCGGATGCACATCAGTCGGGAGACGAAAGGGGGGATAGCAAAAGGTAGTAGGGTAGAGAATCGGCTCACGTAGCTGATTTTCCCAGCGCCTCCTGGCGCCGGGAGGCGCCCATGTCTCGAGGAATGGGCTGGGCAGCGGGGCCGAAACCAGCTGCATGCAGCAGATGTCGTACCCCCCCCTTCCGCAATTCCCCTTTCGTTCGGCCCGAGACTCTAATCGACACTACAATGGCGCACATCGACACTAAGTCGGCGCTGTCTCATGTATGAGCAGACACGCCAGCGATGGCTGTGGGCGCCACGAGGGCGGCTACGACACAGGCGATGGTGATGTTGGTGGTCGCCTGCCCCTTCTGCTGGTCCTCAGCTGACACGCTGGAGTCCCGGCCCGACACCAGGCAGGCAGCCGCCGTAGTTCGGCGGCGCCTGACCCAGCGGCCTCTGGCCCCAGCAAGAGCCCGTTTTCGCGGAGACCGTCCGCTTGTGGGGCTTACGGTCCGCTGTGCAAGCGCTGCAGCCTTGCTCAAAGGGGAAAGTCTGAAGCTCCTCCTCGTTGATGTCGCTCTGCGGCAGGGGGTCCCCGTGGTCTTCGTGGAGGGCGACCATGATGCCCGTGGTTGCATGAATGCCAGCGCACGCAATGAGTACCACGCAGAAGACGGTCGGGGTGAGGAACACCCTGGTCATCAATGCAACTGCGAGACGGAAGTTGATCCAGTCCCATGCCGCCAGCACGCTTGCAGCAAGCATTACCAGTGACTTGATACCGACCTGGATGACAAGAGCCCCGGGGCTCGCACGCTCCTCGCCCAGGAGGGCTACGGGGCTGGTGAAGAAAACGTGCGCGCCGACGCCTCCTGCCAACCCGGAAACCGACAGGATCCCCCGCGTGACTCCGTAGGTGAGGCCGCTGGCCGCCGCCAGCCTCGCCAGGCAGGACACTTCGCATGAGATGCTGGGGCCGTGCAGGGCGGCGAGCAAGTCGATTATCTTATGTATAAGGGCCCCGTGACTTGGGTCACAACGGGGCGGACCTCCTCCAAAACTTTGTCTTCGTTGTCTATGTTGCCTTGGGCCTCGCGATACGCCTTGACAGCCCCCATAACTCGCGGTACAAACCCGCCATTGACCATCAAAGGGGCCGTCTCAACCACCCACTCTTTGAGCAGGGCGAGATGGCGCATCGCAGGCGCAAGAGAGAAAAAAAACACGAGACCCCATATGGCAAGAATGGCGTCGCAGACCAGGTGCACAAACAGAACCGCTGTACTTGTTGGTGAAAATTTACGGCGCTCGCGGACATGGTTGCCGAGCCCTCGACATGTCACTAACAATTGCATCGCAGCCAACGTCAATTTCCATGTGACGTGTGGGTCTGAATAAACCACGACGAAAACGCCATGCTTTTGTATGTTCGCTTCGTCCCACTTTCCTTGCAAACGTTTGGCGTCTTCACTCTGAAGAAATGAACCTATCTTCCCTTCGGTCATGCCTGCCAGCTTCGTTCATGGGGACAAACTTGTTTCGCGAATTGCAGCCCCGACCACGTCAGCCACATAGAGACTCCAGCTCGCTTGCGTCGCAGACTTATGGAGCATCTGTTGAACGTCAGTAGCGTTGGCAGTAAAAATGCCAGATACAGCAATATATTCATGAAAAGACGTTGCCCGTTCGACTGCCACGTTAGATTCTGGGCACCTGGAGTCCCCGAGCTGTTTCTTCATCTCTTTGAAAACATCCTGAGTGAAAGTAGGCCGCGTGATCAGAGCAAGCTGCGCACCGCCCGTAATGAAACGCGTCTCCATGTCTTTGCGAAATTCAGGATCACTCTGCACTCTGCCGGTGAGTGCGATTTGGCAGGTGCTTTCCTGGGCGGTGACACGGAGAGCGACGTACACGGACAAGGCCGCGCAGGGGAGACCGCGCCACAGCGCGCTGCGGCGACGAAGCGCCCTGAGGTCGGGCGCCCCCCCCTCGACGTATCTGCGCCCCTGGCAGACAACGAGGACCAGCGTGTCCAAGTCGAGCGCGGCGACCGCTGAGAGAACGAAGCGACCGCCCTGATAGAAGTACCGGGCACCGAGGATGTTGGTCGCTGCGACTCCGACGAGGCCGACAAAGACGGTGACATGCCGAAATGGCGGCGCCGCCGCCTCGTTCCTCTCGAAGTGCGCCTCCGCCGCCCAGAAGATTTGCATCAGGATGGAGCCCCATTGGCTTAGCCAAGCTCCGACCAGGAAAAGAAGGTCGAGGTAGCTCAGGAGAGCCGAGAACATGGACACAGAAACGCACGCGCAGTCCACCGTAACCTGGCCGAGTGGTAGCGAGAACTGTCCAGATGCGCCCGATTGAGCCAAACAATTGGCTACGGACCTTCCAGGGGGTCCTCTTGGGGCTCTTTTGGGCCGTCTTGGAGCCCTTTTGGGCCGTCCGGGGACCCTCTTGGGCCGTCTTGGCGGGCTTGGGCCGTCTTGGGGCCCTCCTGGGTCCCCTCGGGGACCTCCTGTGGCCCTCTTGGGGCTCTCTTGGGAACCTCTTGGGGCCCTCAAGGGCCTCTCTTGGGCCGTCTTCGGGCTCTCTTGGGCCGTCTTGACGCCCACTTGGGCTGTCATGGGGGCCTCTAGGGCTGTCTTGGGGCGATCGTGGGGATCACCTGGACCGTTCTGGACGCTGTGAAGACCAAAACGGCGAATACGCTGAAAATGCACGTTCTCTGAAAGGAATGGGACGATTTGCACCTCTTGGGTGTCACCTGTGGGGGCTTCTTAGGGCGTCATGGGGCCTTCTGGGCTGTCTTGGAACCAGATTGGGCCCTCTTGGATCGCTCTTGGGCCATCTTCGGGCACGCTTGGACCTCTCCGACACGCCGTCTTGGGGACCTCGTGGGCCGAATTTGGGGCGGTCTTGGGGCTGACTCGGGTCGTCTTGGGCCGAAGATGGCCGAGACTTGGGGCGATTAGATCTGACGCCCGGGCTGTTTACCCTTTCCCCCTTGTCATTGCCCCCGACCGACAGATCGCGACGCTACGCGCGCTCCCCGTCATCCGCCGCCCCCTTTTGGCTTGTCACAGGGGTACATGGCGTGCCAAATTTCAGGAGGTTGTTGGTTTTTTATCTTTTAGAGATCCCCCACGGGTTTCGTCCCAGCGCGTTGGCCACCCGGAAAGTGTACATGCCAATGCCTTTCTCGCCCAAGATGGCCCACAACGGATTCCAAGATGCCTCCCAGACGGCCGATGTGACCTAATATGGTCTCCTCAAAAATACGCAAACATGGTCAACAAAATAATCGAAGACTCGTGCCCCGACTATTTTTCTGACTATTTTTGAATATTCCTCCCGTGGCGGGACGTGCCCGCCTTAATACTTGCAACTGATGGCGGAGCTGAGCGATCTCTCTCACCTCGACCTGGTCGCACGTGTCAAAGACGTCACGAACAGGACGGGCCGTCCAACCTGGGCTCCGTTCCTCGAAACGACGTTGACGAGACGAAGCTGCTCGCCACAGTGCGGCCCTACAGCCTGGTCGTCCAAGCACCTGATGGCCTACCTCGGGCTGCATGCGCTCGGGTTGGGCCACGCTCTCCTTGGTCGCCCCACCTCCCCCCACTCCTCAAACCGCGGGCCCCTCTCCTGGCCCCCGCCCCTGCCGCGGACAGGCGGGCCTGGCACGCGCGAGGCAAGGCCTCTGCCCCCCCCCCCCGGCCGCAGTCCCCCGCGCGCCCACGCCCAATGTCTGCTTAGGCTGTTGCCTCCGCCGATGGGGTTCCAGCTGCGGTCCGGCAGCGTGTGCTCGGCGCGACCGCGCAATCCAACCAGCGGACCCCGCCCGGGGCCGACACCTAGGAGGAGGAGGAGGAGGAGGAGGAGGAGGAGGAGGAGGAGGAGGAGGAGGAGGAGGAGGAGGAGGAGGGAGGAGGAGGAGGAGGAGGAGGGGGAGGCGGGAGGAGGAGGAGGGGAGGAGGAGGAGGAGGAGGAGGAGGAGGAGGCAGGCGCTTGCCCACCGCGTACGACCCATTCGATCCCGAAGGGCCCCCTTCTCGCAGGAGGCCACCAATCTGGCCTGGCGACACTTCGAGGGTTGCCAAAAAGGTGCCCCTGGCCCAAGGTGCCCCCCCCGGTTTCCCGCTCGGTCCTGGAGCCCCTGGGGCACCCCGGGCCTCAGGAGGGCGCTCTGGAGGCCGTGAGGGCCCCCCTTGGAACTCCTGGGAGCACCATGGGCTTCGGTCGGGCGTGTCCCCCTCTACAGGCGCATTTTTGGGCGAAAGATGAAAAAGCACCCCAAACGTATTCAAACACACGTATATATATATATATATATATATATATATATATACATACATACATACATACAAGACTGCATTGGCGCTTCGCGCCATGCACCTTGGTCCTTCGAATCGAGCATAAATGCCTGTTCGCCTCATCCACGTTGGCCTTGAAGTGCGGCAAGCTCATTTAGGATTGCGTTTGGAACTGAATTTTGAAGCGGCCCCTGCAACGTGGCGGCGAGAGAGCGGAGGCCCCGAAAGAATAGAAAATCTCAGGAAAACCTGAAGTGTCGAGCTGCGAACCGTGATCTGCGCCTTCCTCTCTCGGCTCTTGCCCTGCGAACCTCGAGCCTCAAACGTCGACGTGCGATCTTCTCGGGAAGCGCACCGAATCCCGAGTTCACAACGGATTTCCGGAATATTGTTGCGACGCACACATGTGTGCTGTCTCTCGTTACCGGGAATCGAGTCTGAGGCCAGCAGCAGGAGGTGTCAGGGGGAGGAAATCTGTTTCCGCCCCAGCGCGCTTGCGTTCCGAATTAAGTGGTCGGCTGTCAGGCGCCGCCAGCAGCAGCGGCCTCGTCGACCTCGTGCTCGTCGCGGGCTGTCGCGTTCTCCCAGTCACTCCCGGCCTCTGCGTCCTCTTCTGCTGCAGCGCCCCCGAGCCGAGCCAGCAATTGCGACTCTTCGCAAAAGGCGAACTGCGCGCCGTAATCCGCGAGGGTGGCCTGCTCACAGAATGAGTACACCCGCCGCACCACGTCGTGGTTGAACTTAGCAAGAGTCGCGGCTTTGTGCTCCTGGAAAGCCTTCACGCGCGTGGCTCCAGCTTGCCGGATCAGGACGGTCCACAGCTGGATGGCGGCGGCGTTCTGGGCGTGAAGCACGGCAACCTTGCGAACCGGTCGTCCGCGTTTCCCAGTTGCCCACACTGTGGTGCCCAATCGCTGGGACACCACGCGGCGCGGCCCGCTGCCTGCGAGCACGACCGCGGGAGTTTTCTTGTGCCGCCCGTGATCCGGGCACCGCGACGAAGGCTGTCGAATGCGCAACGCATTCTTCACTCTGAAGCTTCTCCACCCAGGAGACGCCGCGAGCACCCCTTCCATCTCTTCGGCGGACGCCGCGAACAGGGCCGGTGCCATGCCGCCTTTGTGGCCGAGCTCCGTGAGCGCGCTCAGGAAGCATCTGCTGTTGGCGGCAATTTTTCTGAGCTCTCGCGCGGCTTTCGCTGCGTGGAGCTTGGCGAGTCTATTCTTCTGTAGCTTCCAAGGATTGAAACTGTCGCCAATCAGGTCGGCTGGGTGCCCGGGGTGTTGCTGGAGGACCACGTTGAGCTTTGCCACCACTCCCTTGGCTCCGGCGATGGTGTTCACATGATCGGCAATTATGCGCAATGCGCAAGGGGAGTGCAGGAACTCGAGCAACAGCGCCGTGCTATCTCGAGCGTGCTGCGGGCACTGATTCAGTATGTGTGTCTGA